AAGGGTGAATGAAAAAATAAAGGACATCCTTACTCATGTGTATTTAGCTTTATTTTATATCAATTGAAAATCAATTTTCTAAATAGTTTTTCTATTTACTGGAATAGATTTTTATCTTGATTTGAATGTATATTGATTGTGACTTAATGTCTACTGGTAGCTTGTATTTTACCAGCATAATGTTGCTGCCAGGTCCAGGGACAAAATGAATATTTCAATAATGCAAGTAAGAGGATTAAAGGACAAGGCATAGTGCTATATGGCTATTTAAAAGGAAAGAAAACATTTCAGCTTGAGTTAAAGAGTGACATCACAGTCCAATTACATGTTAGTTCTCTCACTTCTCTTAACAGAAATAGTAGCTTACAACTGATTAAGCTTTTCCTTTTAGAGGAGTAAATAAGGAATTGGAATTTTTAAACTCTGACTAGATGTGTGGATGACTGTGTACATGTATTTGTAGACACATGTACCTTTTCCCAGAAATGTAAACACTTGCAAAATATTAATATTTATTTTATATATGTAACTGTATCCTACTTACTCTTTCACCGGGAGGACCAGGAGGGCCATCACCACCTGAAGTGCCCTGGCAGCAATGAAAAGAAAAGAAGAAACATCAGTTTTGATTCTTTCTTTTAGCATCTGTCTGCTGGAAGAGGAACTCAGAGGTAAGCCCCAAGGGTAACAAATGCTGATACCTTTGCACCAGGTTTCCCAGTGGGACCTCTTGCACCTCTTGAACCTCGAGGTCCCTGCATAGGACAGCAAAAGATGAATTGATCTAGTGCCAAGCAAACCCAAAAGCACAAAATCATTTTTTAAAAATATTTTGAAGCAAATTTTCTTGGGAAATTAAATCCAAAACGAAAAATGAAAAATCATTATTTTAAATCAGGACACCCACCGTTGGACCACGCTGACCCCTAGGGCCTGGTTTCCCGGCTACACCCTGCCAAAGACAGTTCAAACAGTCTCAGTGTGCAGCATATCACAGGAAATTGTGTGTCTGGTTCTGAGAGATAGGCACTCATGCAAGAATATTTATATTAGATATAAATTGTTTCAATGTGAGATATAAATTATTTATATATGTAAATATAAATCTAACATAAATTTATATTAAATAAAATATTGTCCAGAACAGTATATTTATATTCCCTACCCGTGCACCTTTCTCTCCATTGGCACCTGGAAACCCAGGAAATCCAGTGGAACCCTACAAAAATGAAAATGATAAACAATGAATAATAAAAACTGTAACTAACACTTTTAGCCACAAGCTGTAAGTCTTTGGAACACAGTGCTTCTCACAAGCTGATAATATTTCAATCAATGTGTTGGTTCATGTATTTGAAAATGAACTTACAGAGACATCTGAAGTCCTGGAAGCATGGAAAGCATGAAGTAATAACATATACTTTTTGTTTTTAATGCTAAGTAAAATAATAACCCAAATATTATCATCTCTCACTTTAGAAAGTAGTAATTATAGGCATTTTATATAAACTAAATTTTTAAATTATAATTCTACACACATGCTTCAATTCTGAGGAAAAATCCTCTTTTTCATAAGCTTTATTACTCAAATATTAAGATAGGAATCTTATAAAATATTTTTCCTGAATTAACATTGTTATAGTCATAAACTCATAACTTTTTAGTTGAATATTTTTATGTCTTTAGAACTGAATCAAATCATAAAGACTAAGAATCTTCTGCCACTTTTTCTGTTTGAGGCTTGAATGTGGTTAGATCTAACTGAGACTCTAAGTCAGACAATCCAGCATTAAAGATTTTTGGAATTTCAAAGACAAGTTCAAGACTTATGTTTGTCATGCATTCACCTAAGTAAGTTGGGTGTATTATCCTTTTTGAGCAAAAGCTTTTTCTCCTGCAGAATGAGGCAATCATCTACATCTTACAGACATTTTGAAATTTATGGACAATTGGAATAATGGAAGGTAAAAAAATGATAAATGATACATAACAATAAAGGTTATTCAAAGATGTAATGACCACAGTAATAGCATCATTTCATCCATGAACAGCCACATTTTACAGATAGAATATATTATAATTCCCCCATTTCATATTGTGCATATGTTCAGATTTTCATCTTCTTAAAGATTCCTTTGAAATTAACTGTAGTTAGTTTACCTCATCATTATATCATGAAATAGAGCAGATTAGGGATCAAATCCTTGCTCCTCAACTTGCTAACTATGAAATAATCGGTGTGTGTCAGAAGGAAGTCTTCCAAATACTTAGTTTTCCTTTTTAGACCATTGTATGGATTAGATACAATAATGTATAAAATGTCTAACAAACAGTAGTAGATATTCAGATTTTACACACTTTGCTATGCATTGAGATATAATAAAGCCTTCTTTGACTGGAATATATTCCTAGCTTTCTTTAACCTATTCATTTGGATTGAGTTACCACTAAAGTAGTGTTTCTCCAAGTGATAACGTGGCTCCTCTGCATCACAATAATCTGGAGTGATTGCTAAAAATATGGACTGTCAAATCTCATTGTCGACCTACTGAGATAGATTTTGTGGCAGTAGGGTCCAAGAATATGCATTTTTAAACAATTTCTCCAGGTGCTGAATACAGGACAGATGCTATCAATTTATATTTCTTCTGTAAGTAAGAAGATTGTATGTAAAGTCTTTTGGGAACTGATGGTCAAAACAGTAGCCCAATGTCAGCACTGCTAAGCTTCTTTTTATGACCCACTTTCCATTATATTCTAATTTATGCCATAGATATAACTATGTGATCAGCCTGAGGGCAACTGTTAAGACATGTAATATTTAAATGGGAAAAATGTCTGAAAATTGCATTATTTGAAGGGCTTTCTAGCTTTTTTTCTTTCTCTACAGAGAATCAGATATTTGTATCTGTAGGAATGTTACTATGTAACTACTTTACAAATTTGACAAGGGAGTACAGTCCAAAATGACATAATTTACTTCTATCAGATTTTATTTGGGAATAAACATTCATTTCTGTTCTGAGTAGAATAGATAACTAATAACATTTATAGAAACTCCATTCAAACAAATTGCTCTTCTGCATCAATTTTATTTTTAATACATTAATTTTCTCACGTAGTTTCTGCTCTAGGAAATTTATGGGAAAAAGACAAAAATGTCTAATCTACCAACTAAACAGTTTGTAATATATGGGCATATTATTCCTCTATTTTCATATAAAGAATTCTCACCAAAATGTAAAATTTCCCTGAAAAAGCTTTAGTTGTTTTTAAATGGAAAAAAACAAACAGCAGAGAGCCAAAAAGTCAAAGGTTAATGGTGAAACAGGCTCAGTCGGTAAGTGTGAAACTGTCAAGATTATTTTAAACATTCTTTTAAATATAAAAGAATCCTACCTTAAGAAGATCTTACTTTTTGAATAGATAGCATTTTATAGTCAACATGGCAGTTTATCTTTTAACTACTCATTATGATCTGTGTTACTGGTGAGATAGTGGATAAATTTTATTGTCTAATTACACCCTTAAACCGCTTGAAAGAGATTAGCAGCCTACTTTCACTTTAGTGTGTAAAGATTTTAATCTATTCACAATTCAATGGCTTCTGCATAGAAAAAAATGTGAAGCTATCTTTTAACTTTGATATGCCCATCACTTTCTGTTTTAGAACTGATAAATATAAATGGTTTTTGATCACAGAGAAAAGTTATGGAGAAAAAAATGATATAAAAAAATAAAAGACCGGACATTTTGGCTAAACGGTAAAGAAAAGTGATTCCTCTAAGAAGAAACATTTTCTAGTGGTTCTGGCACATTTTGTTAATAAAAAGAACTATTGAACAAAGAATATTGAACAAAGAATTGACTTAGAAAAAACTGAAAAAGATAAGAATGTTAAACTCATAAAGTTGTGCTTATTCAAGTAATAACACAATTTCAGTTTTTAAATCAAAATTGCCAATTCAACTTGGTAACTAAATCAAGAATCATCAATTAATGTAAAGATAGCTTAAAGTCATGGGTAATACTGTACCTTCCTTTATTAAGAACACTTGTTAAAATGCTCGGCATTTGAAAGGAAGGTAACTAGGAGACAGAGCAGTTTATTTGAGATAATACTTGAAAGGTAAAAATTTCTACTCAGTGGTCTGAGGGCAGCCAGACACATTTAAAAGATGTTTGTGTTATTTTTTAAATCAAAGAGGAAATGAGTCTGATTTTAGAAGGGCTCAAAGCATTGTTTAGCTCCTACAATACAAGGAAATATGTATTTTCTAGTAACTCAGGGAAAAATTATAAGACAAAGCCACATGGCAAGTCTAAAATACTGTTATCACATGACCGTGAGTGAACACAAGTGCATGAAGTTCACGTTTGATAGGAGGAAAGCCAGATATTTTTTTGTCTTCCATTGATCCTTGTCTACCACTGATTATCTGTGAAACTTATTAATAAAAATATGCTGGGGATTATTACTTAGCTAAAGATTGATCCATATTTATACTATACCTATTAAGTCCAAATTAGTTAAACAGGGATAGATAGATGATAAAGAGACACACAGGTAGATAGATAATCTCATGTGCAGGTAACTACCTTAATATTAGTAAACAACATTTACATATTAATGTGCTTAACCATTGTAATATAACTAATCAATGCATCAAGTACAGTCTTATCAAAGTTTTGATCAACTTGAGGAAAATTAGTACATCAAGGTAAACATGAATTTTTAAAACCATTTGTTTTTATGCTTGAAATATGTATATTTAAAATAGTCAAAAACAATTTGAATACTGTACTGGGTTGAATGGTGGTCCCCAAAAAGATATATCCAACATCCAAATCTCTAGAATCTGTGAATGTTACCTTATTTGGAAAAAGGCATCTTTGTAGATGTAATTAAGTTAAGAATCTTGAAATAAGATCATTCTGGATTACCCAGGTAGTCCCTAAATGCATGAGAAGAGACAGAAGAAGAGAAGACAGGCGGAGAGGACAGGCCATGCGAAGAAGGGGCAGAGTCTGCAGTTATGCCTACGCAAGCCGAGGAGCGCCTGGGGCTACCAGCAGCTGGAAGAGGCAGGGACAGACTTCCTCTACCGCCTTTGGAAGGACGGTAGCCCTGCTGACACTTGATTTTAGACTTCTGGCTTCCAGAACTGTAAAAGAGTAAATTTCCATTGTTTTCAGTCACCAAGATTGTGAAGATTTGTTACAGCAGTCCTAAGAAACAAATACTTGGAAATAAAGGAAAACAAAAAGGGTGAAAAATGTACTATAATTCTTTTTTCTAAAAAGAAAAATTCAAGTCATTAAAACCCTTAAGGCACTAGAAGTGAAATCAAAATCTGTATCTATCACTGGTCATCCACTGTAGAACCTCTAGATATACTAGCATGGTGCCCTGGAAGGCTCCTCACTCCGAGGATGCCTTCCTTTAATGCCTCCTCAAGTCCAGCCCATAACCGCCCAGGCTCTCTGAGCGGCCAGCACTCTGGGCGCCCACACTCCCTGGGACTTTGTCTTGTGAAGTTTTAAGCATTCGTCATCTCTGTGCTACAAACTGAAAGGCAACCATGGGTGATTCATTTTAGATGTTTCTACAAAATGTTGATAAATAAACTATAAAATCAAACTGATCGTTTTACCTTTTGACCTTGTCTTCCTGGATATCCTGGCAATCCTGGGACACCAAGTTTCCCCTAAAGTTAAAAAAAAACATTAACAATAAAAAATTCTAAGTTAAATTTAAATTATGATTTTAATCATTTTTATACAAGTTAAAATCACACGTTTGATACTTGAAAGGAAGATGTGCAAGTTTTTAACCATACTTTACTTTCATTGTATTTCTTCACTTGAATAGGGAAAAAAATGTTCCTTCAGACATATTTTCATATTAACCACTAACTTAACCTCTGTTGTCTAAGTGACAGGGCTTTGTCTGGGACATAGAACACTAAGCTGAAGAGAATTTAGGACTCTTTGTGAACTTTTAGGCATGACCAAAAAAAATCTAAGCTTATTCAACATTAAATATTATTTAATGTTAGTTAATGTAGTTAAAGCTACATTTAGATCTAACCCTTCTAATTAAAGTTATTCTTTTTAATAAGATTATTTCATTCCTCACTGTAAATAAAGCAAGAAATTATGAATTTAACTTTTTCTCATTGAATAAGTAAAGTTTAAACAACTATACTAAAAATTTCTAACATAAATTTTGAACAGTCTTCTTTTAATCCAAATACCTGGATAAATTTGGGTTAATAAATGCACTGAATGTTGAGAGCTATAGTTAAATTAATGATGTTTTTTGTGAAGTGTTCATTCCTGCAGGTGGGTATCTGAATGTGCAACTATTATGTTCCACGGCAATGAGATTATCTCTAATTCTGAAAATGCTTAAATAAATGATAAATTACAGCAAAGTGCAAAAATATGTAAGAAATACTTAGAGATTTAAAATGTTATATTAATAAAATTGGCCAAACATTTGTTTAAATATAGAGGTGGAGAGAAAATTAAATTAAATTAATTGAATAATATAAAATTAAATATAAATACATAAATATAAATGAAGTTAATTTGTAGAATTTTACTATTATTCACTTTCCTTTAGATCTTATGAACTCACTTCATATATAAAATATTATTTATCAAAGTGTTAAACATTAGGAAACACATAGTATCACTATTTCCTGTGTACATTTAAGCAAAATAAGAATAAAAGCAAAAACAGTATGAATTATTATATACAATGTTAAAAGATGAGCAGTACTTTATGAGCAAAAATAAATGTTTTACTGGATGAAGAAAGGCAAGAAATCAGGGGCAGAGTTTATGACCTTGTTATTCTAGTTTGAACTAAAGATTTGTCAGGATGCAAGATCAACACTGCATAGGTAAGCGGTCTTCCGAAGGAAAATATGCAAACAAGCCCTAAGAACCACATTTATAATGATGTCCCCATGGGTGCAGTAAGTTATCACAGCTTGTTTTATGCCACTGACTTCAAGATTAGTGAAATTTTCCAATTATGATCATGAGCTTTTGTGTTCTATGTTAATTACTATAGTAGAATGTAAGTTCTTCATTTTAGAGTCTTTTTAAAACAAACCCAGACAGCAAATTGGTTTGCATTTTCAGTATAGTGATAGGCAACTTCAATAAAAGGGAAATACTAATGAAATGTTAAAGATAAAAATTATGGGGCAGAGTCCTGTTGTCTCAAGAGAGTTTGCGGGCTATTTTCACAGAATAAAGGGTTGCTAAGAGAGGAAGGTCACAAAAGAGCCTTAAACTATTGGCAAGTGAGCACTTTAAGTGGAAGGGTCGTAGGGCTTTGCAAGCCCTTGCTTGCTCCATATCCTTTTCTTCCACTGCCTACACATGCTTGCACTATTCTTCACTTCACAAATGGCAACTGGGAGTGAAAACTGTAGGAGAAAGAACCACTCCATCAGAGAATTCAGGAAGACATGGGGAATTTTTCTTTTTTTGTCAAGTTACAACCTCTGTATAATTCTTATCTAGTATATTTTTCATTTGGGAGAATTTGATATGGGGGGATTACAATCTTCATAAATAACACAGAATTTCCATATTTTGAAGATTAATGGCATGTTCCACATAGAAAATTTTGAAAATAAACCTACATATAAAAAGAAAGGAAATCATGTGAATTATATGAAGAGATTATTATTTATATTTTCCTTTAGTGTACACAATTGGATGACACTTGTGATAGACATTTATACTTTTGCTTAATTTAACTTCCTAGTATATTATGTTTACCATATCCTAGTATGTTTACCATATCAGAAATTATACTCTATGAAGGCATAATTTTCATGTTGCCTAATACTACATCTAAATGTAAATGTAATGGATACAAATACTTTCTGACATAGCACCTAATGCCAGGTGGCTCTTAATCCAATGAATATTAGAATTACCTGGGGATGTTTTAAAACATAGTGATAGCTGGGTTAACCCCAGATTAAAATTAAAATTTCATGATGGTGGGCCTGAACAGCAGCATTTTTAAAAAACACTTGTTCTGTGAAAACTCATGTTTAGGTGGAAAAAAAATCAGAAAATGTACGTTTTGGTTTGAGTGACAAAGACAATCCCACATGTTTTGAAACAAGTAATAGACCATCTTTCATTGATTCTTTCATCCTTCATTAATCACACTCAAATTCTTAACCTTTCATATGAAGAGGTTTAAGACTGGCTGATCTTGCATAGCCAAGGAAAGCAAAAGGAATGGAACATAAGGAAGAAAAAGCATAAATGTATCCATCTTACAAATATACTTCTAAGTAGCATATGGATATGCTTGAAGTTTAAAAGAATCCTCTACATTTCTGACCTGGATGATTAAAAAATTTTAAAATGACAATGAGGCATCATATGAAGAGTCCCTGTGACTTTAAAGTGGTTCACTGACCTTCTCCCCTGCTTGACCAGAAGGACCGGGGTCTCCAGTAGGACCTGCCCGACCTTTGGGGCCTTCAGGGCCATCTTCTCCTCTTGGACCTATTTGACCAACTTCTCCCTGAAACAGAGTAACAACATTCTTTTAACATAGAATAGACTGCAGATATAATGGCAGAGAATCTATCAAAAAGTCATAATCTTTAGTCTTTAACTCTTGGTTTGTTTTTTCATGTTTTATATATAGCAGAGTCTTGAAAGTGTCTGATTTCATCAATCTTTCCATTAACAAATAAGCAACTGAATATAGTTTGACACTTGAAACCCCACAAAAGCCTGATGCTGCCATGTATCATATTAAATTATTTTTGTTACATCTGTGTTGCAGATAAAGAGAGACAAAAAATAAGAACCAAGATTAGATAGTGTAGAGTGGCAGGATATGCCATCCCAAAATATGCCACTTTTGCTGAAGATTATTTTGAGCTGAAGGCAATTGAAAAGAAGTAGATGCAAGAAAACTTCCTAAAAGCAGGATGTAAATTTACAAAGGTATCCTTTCTTCTCTCTCTACCAGAAAGGAAAACAAGTTAATCATTAGAAACAAGTAGACCCTTATCAGTCTGTAGCCAGAAGCAGACACCAAAGGAATCTACACAACAAACTTTGCTAAGTAACCTTTATCTATGATTAGTTGCCCATATATCTGCCTTCCCATAATTCACAGCCCTAGAAACTCAAAGTTATTTTCCTTTGTCTTGTCACTTCTCTAAAAATTTACTCGTCCTTTGCTTCCATGCTATGTAAGCCCAAGTTCTAACCACTCCTTTGAGTTACTCATCAGAGTGCCCCAGGTACAGGTGATGCACATACCAGCAAACTTGCTTTTTCCCTTATTAATCTGTCTTTTTTAAAGTCTAATTTACAGGGCACCAGTCTGAGAACCTAGCAGGGTAGTAAGAAAAAGAATTTTTTCCTCCCTGCTAATTAATAACTTTGGAAATCACTGTTTGGAACACAGGAAAAATGCCTCCATTTTAGACTTGGCTTTCACCTTTGAAGTATTAGGTACTGGAATGTAAGACAAAGCCACATGGCAAGTCTAAAATACTGTTATCACATGACCGTGAGTGAACACAAGTGCATGAAGTTCACGTTTGATAGGAGGAAAGCCAGATATTTTTTTGTCTTCCATTGATCCTTGTCTACCACTGATTATCTGTGAAACTTATTAATAAAAATATGCTGGGGATTATTACTTAGCTAAAGATTGATCCATATTTATACTATACCTATTAAGTCCAAATTAGTTAAACAGGGATAGATAGATGATAAAGAGACACACAGGTAGATAGATAATCTCATGTGCAGGTAACTACCTTAATATTAGTAAACAACATTTACATATTAATGTGCTTAACCATTGTAATATAACTAATCAATGCATCAAGTACAGTCTTATCAAAGTTTTGATCAACTTGAGGAAAATTAGTACATCAAGGTAAACATGAATTTTTAAAACCATTTGTTTTTATGCTTGAAATATGTATATTTAAAATAGTCAAAAACAATTTGAATACTGTACTGGGTTGAATGGTGGTCCCCAAAAAGATATATCCAACATCCAAATCTCTAGAATCTGTGAATGTTACCTTATTTGGAAAAAGGCATCTTTGTAGATGTAATTAAGTTAAGAATCTTGAAATAAGATCATTCTGGATTACCCAGGTAGTCCCTAAATGCATGAGAAGAGACAGAAGAAGAGAAGACAGGCGGAGAGGACAGGCCATGCGAAGAAGGGGCAGAGTCTGCAGTTATGCCTACGCAAGCCGAGGAGCGCCTGGGGCTACCAGCAGCTGGAAGAGGCAGGGACAGACTTCCTCTACCGCCTTTGGAAGGACGGTAGCCCTGCTGACACTTGATTTTAGACTTCTGGCTTCCAGAACTGTAAAAGAGTAAATTTCCATTGTTTTCAGTCACCAAGATTGTGAAGATTTGTTACAGCAGTCCTAAGAAACAAATACTTGGAAATAAAGGAAAACAAAAAGGGTGAAAAATGTACTATAATTCTTTTTTCTAAAAAGAAAAATTCAAGTCATTAAAACCCTTAAGGCACTAGAAGTGAAATCAAAATCTGTATCTATCACTGGTCATCCACTGTAGAACCTCTAGATATACTAGCATGGTGCCCTGGAAGGCTCCTCACTCCGAGGATGCCTTCCTTTAATGCCTCCTCAAGTCCAGCCCATAACCGCCCAGGCTCTCTGAGCGGCCAGCACTCTGGGCGCCCACACTCCCTGGGACTTTGTCTTGTGAAGTTTTAAGCATTCGTCATCTCTGTGCTACAAACTGAAAGGCAACCATGGGTGATTCATTTTAGATGTTTCTACAAAATGTTGATAAATAAACTATAAAATCAAACTGATCGTTTTACCTTTTGACCTTGTCTTCCTGGATATCCTGGCAATCCTGGGACACCAAGTTTCCCCTAAAGTTAAAAAAAAACATTAACAATAAAAAATTCTAAGTTAAATTTAAATTATGATTTTAATCATTTTTATACAAGTTAAAATCACACGTTTGATACTTGAAAGGAAGATGTGCAAGTTTTTAACCATACTTTACTTTCATTGTATTTCTTCACTTGAATAGGGAAAAAAATGTTCCTTCAGACATATTTTCATATTAACCACTAACTTAACCTCTGTTGTCTAAGTGACAGGGCTTTGTCTGGGACATAGAACACTAAGCTGAAGAGAATTTAGGACTCTTTGTGAACTTTTAGGCATGACCAAAAAAAATCTAAGCTTATTCAACATTAAATATTATTTAATGTTAGTTAATGTAGTTAAAGCTACATTTAGATCTAACCCTTCTAATTAAAGTTATTCTTTTTAATAAGATTATTTCATTCCTCACTGTAAATAAAGCAAGAAATTATGAATTTAACTTTTTCTCATTGAATAAGTAAAGTTTAAACAACTATACTAAAAATTTCTAACATAAATTTTGAACAGTCTTCTTTTAATCCAAATACCTGGATAAATTTGGGTTAATAAATGCACTGAATGTTGAGAGCTATAGTTAAATTAATGATGTTTTTTGTGAAGTGTTCATTCCTGCAGGTGGGTATCTGAATGTGCAACTATTATGTTCCACGGCAATGAGATTATCTCTAATTCTGAAAATGCTTAAATAAATGATAAATTACAGCAAAGTGCAAAAATATGTAAGAAATACTTAGAGATTTAAAATGTTATATTAATAAAATTGGCCAAACATTTGTTTAAATATAGAGGTGGAGAGAAAATTAAATTAAATTAATTGAATAATATAAAATTAAATATAAATACATAAATATAAATGAAGTTAATTTGTAGAATTTTACTATTATTCACTTTCCTTTAGATCTTATGAACTCACTTCATATATAAAATATTATTTATCAAAGTGTTAAACATTAGGAAACACATAGTATCACTATTTCCTGTGTACATTTAAGCAAAATAAGAATAAAAGCAAAAACAGTATGAATTATTATATACAATGTTAAAAGATGAGCAGTACTTTATGAGCAAAAATAAATGTTTTACTGGATGAAGAAAGGCAAGAAATCAGGGGCAGAGTTTATGACCTTGTTATTCTAGTTTGAACTAAAGATTTGTCAGGATGCAAGATCAACACTGCATAGGTAAGCGGTCTTCCGAAGGAAAATATGCAAACAAGCCCTAAGAAGCACATTTATAATGATGTCCCCATGGGTGCAGTAAGTTATCACAGCTTGTTTTATGCCACTGACTTCAAGATTAGTGAAATTTTCCAATTATGATCATGAGCTTTTGTGTTCTATGTTAATTACTATAGTAGAATGTAAGTTCTTCATTTTAGAGTCTTTTTAAAACAAACCCAGACAGCAAATTGGTTTGCATTTTCAGTATAGTGATAGGCAACTTCAATAAAAGGGAAATACTAATGAAATGTTAAAGATAAAAATTATGGGGCAGAGTCCTGTTGTCTCAAGAGAGTTTGCGGGCTATTTTCACAGAATAAAGGGTTGCTAAGAGAGGAAGGTCACAAAAGAGCCTTAAACTATTGGCAAGTGAGCACTTTAAGTGGAAGGGTCGTAGGGCTTTGCAAGCCCTTGCTTGCTCCATATCCTTTTCTTCCACTGCCTACACATGCTTGCACTATTCTTCACTTCACAAATGGCAACTGGGAGTGAAAACTGTAGGAGAAAGAACCACTCCATCAGAGAATTCAGGAAGACATGGGGAATTTTTCTTTTTTTGTCAAGTTACAACCTCTGTATAATTCTTATCTAGTATATTTTTCATTTGGGAGAATTTGATATGGGGGGATTACAATCTTCATAAATAACACAGAATTTCCATATTTTGAAGATTAATGGCATGTTCCACATAGAAAATTTTGAAAATAAACCTACATATAAAAAGAAAGGAAATCATGTGAATTATATGAAGAGATTATTATTTATATTTTCCTTTAGTGTACACAATTGGATGACACTTGTGATAGACATTTATACTTTTGCTTAATTTAACTTCCTAGTATATTATGTTTACCATATCCTAGTATGTTTACCATATCAGAAATTATACTCTATGAAGGCATAATTTTCATGTTGCCTAATACTACATCTAAATGTAAATGTAATGGATACAAATACTTTCTGACATAGCACCTAATGCCAGGTGGCTCTTAATCCAATGAATATTAGAATTACCTGGGGATGTTTTAAAACATAGTGATAGCTGGGTTAACCCCAGATTAAAATTAAAATTTCATGATGGTGGGCCTGAACAGCAGCATTTTTAAAAAACACTTGTTCTGTGAAAACTCATGTTTAGGTGGAAAAAAAATCAGAAAATGTACGTTTTGGTTTGAGTGACAAAGACAATCCCACATGTTTTGAAACAAGTAATAGACCATCTTTCATTGATTCTTTCATCCTTCATTAATCACACTCAAATTCTTAACCTTTCATATGAAGAGGTTTAAGACTGGCTGATCTTGCA